CTGAATCCCAGGTGAGGGTGAATGAAATCTGACAGACTGGAATAATGTCAGATTGACGTTCACGGGCAATTCTGTGCCCACGCCTGCCGAATACCTCATTTCAGGCATCGGGTGGGATCGTTGAGCTGAAATCACATCTCCGCCCACCCCTGGCCTCTGAATGGGATGAGAAAATTGGGCAGCCATTACCTCCTTTACGAAGATTCATGAAGAATAGGCTGGAGATAAAATAGGCATTTTCTTTCTCTCCTGGGAGAAGTGAATGCCCCGTTATAGCAACTCACTTCCTGAGAGAGACAAACGGGCACAGGGAGCCGTGATGGTGAAAAATGCATGTATATCTGATTCCTATTCCTCTGACTTTTAAGGAAACAGAGGTAACTAGACAAACAACACCGAAAAAGTAAACCTCTTCTCTTAGGTATTTATTTTAAAAGCGACCTTCTGGGAATGTTCTGGGCTTGACACAAAATTCATCATGAACTTGACCAGTGACACTGAGTTCACAGTGGGCGCCTGGGTGTAATGAGGCGAATACCAGGCAGAATTAATTTCGTTGTTTGCTGGGCTCTGCTAACTGGGCGGGAAGGCGTGCATCCGCCATTGGTCCCGCAGGACAGAGAGGTGGGGAAGTGCACGCACCACTCCTCCAACCCTAGCTCACGCTCAGAAAGGTGTTCAAGGGAGGGGCGGAGCTCTGTCCCCCAGGCTCCACTTCTGTGCACCCCCTCTGCTCCCGCGGTGGGGAGCGCAGACCCACCTGGGAAACGTGTTTCTACCTCAAGGCCCCGAGGACATGACACACAGTGGTCACAGGGAGCCTTGCCCCTGACAAGGGACCCAGGAGAGCTGTCCACAGCCCCAGGCACGGTGCTGTCCAGCAGCCCCGAGCCCCGTGTCCCCGTGCACCTCCTGCCCAGCCTCGGGGGACCGGGCCAGGCTGCGCGAAAAATGTCCCTGGTTGTCTATGGACACATTTTCCAAAAACTAACATGTATGTGCCAGGAACGTTTTTCATTTGAAGGGACTCTTCCTGTCTTCCAGACGAAAGGTGGTCAAAAGGGATGGAACCAGTCAGGAGGCCTTTCCTGTCCTCACGCGTTTTAGGTTGCGCACAGGCTGACCCATTGAGGGGAAATTGCCCCGTGTCTTGGTTGCTTCGCTGGTGAAATGATCGTGGTTTTTGCATTACAAAACCTTTTTTCACGCATACCTTCCTGAGGGAGGTCTGATGGCGTGCCAGGGGCGGTGGGGGTTGCCTTGTCGATGGTACCTTCTTTGAGCATTCTTATCTCATTTCGCAGCAAGGAAACGGAAGCTCAGCGTGGTTAGATGACTTGAGCCAGATCAGAGATTTAATGATTGACCCACCCACCATGCCTTCCTCCAAAGCCCACGCTCTTCTGCCCGGGACCATAGGAAGATCTTCTCTCAGGAAGTGTGGGCAGGAAGGGCTGCCGCTGGAAATCTGGTCAAGTTCCCGCCCACGCTGGAGGAAACCTCGAGGTCTAGAGGTGGGTCCAAGGGCTCACCCCTCGGGCTCTCCAACAAGCGGCTGCAACGCTGGGGTGAAACCCAGATTTTCTAAACCCAAAGTCTTCCTCACATGCTTTGTTCTTTATTGAAAGAAGTTTGATTTTACCAAATCAACCGTAACGTGAGCTGCATAAACACCGCAATTCCTTTCGTCTATTTTTACCACTATACCTAGCGGCAATAATAGCAGCGAGCAGTGGAGATGCTCCATTTGGTGAGCAAATGGGTCGTAGGAAGATAAGTAGTAAGAGGGCCAATTACATCTTGCAGAGAAGTTCTGATGCATTGCCCACCTATCACTCCCTCTCGAGTCTCCACACAGCACGGAGGGTGGTTAGAAGCCAGCCATCAGCCAGGACCCAAGGCCAAAAGGAAGCCAACATTACCGGGCCTCTTTCCCTTGCACTTGATGACAATCAGTAAACATACAGCCATTTGTTTCCTTTACAGAGACACTTATCCCAGAGACACATCACAGCACGGAAAATCCCGCAGGTCCCACCCAGCGTGGCTTCAGATGGCCAATTCCTCTGACTGTCAATGTTACCCGAGATCCTAACTCTACAGCTCATAGGAATGCAGGAAAGCTGTTCTGTAGATAAATCCCTAGGTTTATCAACCCCTGTATTATTTATTCTTATGCAATTAGCAACCACTTTTCTGGAAAAAAGGACGGCGGGGCTGAATAAATGAAGGACATCTGGGCTGAATCAATAAATCTCTGTGTCTTATTCCCAGCAGCAATTCTGCTTCTTTGTGGACGCTGGAGTCTCACACGGAGCTTGGTTTAAGAGACGAATGAGTAAACAAAGCTGTTATGAGTAATTAGTATCCAATTAGGTCAAAGGTTTCATGTCTGTGTGAGTCAAGGCCTCTCTTTTTTTCCAACCTCTGGGAAGAGCTAAGTAGGCCAAGCCTCTGTTTATAAAGCAAAGTCTATGCTGACTGCCGGGGGCATTTTATGAGTTGTTAGGACCTGCACATCCAGAGTTTACTCGATTTTTTTTTATTGCCCCTTCCTTGCTGCTGATGAAAGGGGCAGACTGGCCCCCAGGGATCTCGGTCCTTCCTCTCTGTGTTCATCTCCTAGGAGCTCCCAGCTCAGCAGCATCACCCAGAAGCGACATCCTGACTCAGAGGGAAGGCCATGACCCTGCCCTCTGGGGGGAAAGGTCATGACACTGTTCTTTTCATCACAGACCTGTTTCATGAGAAATTTGGAGTCAGAGCCTCTCTAATAACTAGAGTGTGTCTTGATTTGTGTTTATTCCAACTTTGTATGATGACAATGTTCCAATATGCAGAAAAGGTAAAAGAACGCGATGAACATGGGTATACCCACGGCTTAGATTCACCAATTAAGATTTTGCTGAACCCTTTGAAAGTGATTTGCTCTGTTAATATGTCTGCATGTATCTCCTAAGAATAAGGACATTCTTTTACGCAACCAAAGGAATATTATGAAGAATTTATTTCTTTTACATTATTGAAGTAATTAGAGTAACAGTGCTCATAATGTCTCCTTATAATCCTTGCAAGTCTATAGGATCTGTAATAATGCTCTGTTTGGCTCCTGATGTGGTAATTCGTGACTTCTCCCTGTTTTTCTGAATAGGTCTAGTAAGGGATTTATCAATTTCATTTAAAAATTTTTTCCAATGAGCCAGCTATGGATTTCATTCACGTTATTTTTTGTTTGTTTTTTATTCCATTGATTTCTACTTTTATGTTTATTACTTCCTTCTTATTTTTTGGTTTAGTTTGCTCCCTCTGCCCCCCACCACCCGACCCAGCATTTTAAGTTGGAAGTGTGGATCATTTTTTAAGCTATACCCCACAAATGTCGCCAGGTTGTGTTTTTATTCTTTAGTTAAAAATATTCTTAACCCCCCTTATGATTTCTTCTTCGACACACATGTTATTTAGAAGCATATGGTTTAATTTTTTAATATTTGGAGATTTTTTTTCAGATATTCTTCTGTTGTTTTTCTATTAAATTCTGCTGTTGGGCAAAGCATAAACTTTGTATGATTTCAGACTTTTTATATTTGCCAAGGCTTATTGTATGACTCGGCACCTGGCCTATCTGGGTGTATGGTCCTCGGTCACTTGAAAGAAATGGCTATTCTGCTGGCGTCGGGTAGATATTTTTGTGTCAATTAGGCCAAGCTGATGAATAGTATTATCCTTACTGAGTTTCTGTTGGCTTGTTTTGTAAATTATGAGAGAAGTGCTAAAATTTTCAACTAAAATTGTTAATTTGCCTCGTCTTTCAGGTCTGTCAGTTTTGCTTCATTTACTGTGTATGTACACATTCAGGATTGTTAATTTTTTTGGTGTATTGACCTCTGCCACCATAAAATCTCTGTCTCTGTTAATAATTCCTCTTCTGAAGCCTGTTTTCTCTCATGTTAATAAAGCCACTCTGACTTTATTTTGCTTATAGTGTGCATGGGTGTCTATTCCATCTCTTACATGTCTTTGTCATCACCTTTAAAGTAGGTTTTTTAGTAGATCACACATACCTTTGTCTGTCTTTTTTATTTTAGAAGCTCTGTCTTTTAATTGGAGTGTGGACTATTACACATGTTAAAATTTTTAATATGGGTGAACTTAAACCTATCACGTTTCTACTTTTTTCTATTTGCCCCAACCCTTCCTTATTTCCTCTTTCCTCTTTTCCTGCTTTCCTTTGGATTAAATGTATATGTATATATTTTTTACTTTTCTATTTATCTACACTATTGGCTAATGACAAGCTATACTTTTTGTTTCCTTATTTTGAAGGTGATTAAGGTTTGTAATATTCAACATTAACTTACCACCGTCCATTTTATGCCACTTCATGTATAATGGACAATTCTTAGAACATTACATTTCTCTTTCCTCCCTGTTGTTGGTGCTATTTTGTTGTTGTCACATTTTATTTCTCATATAATTTTAACCCCACAATACATGTTTACATTTGGCTTTGATATTCAGTTACCTTCCAAAGGACTTTTTAATGAGGCAGTAAGTTTATATTTACCATATATTTACCAATTTTGGGCACTCTCCGTTTCTCTGTATACACCCGAGCTTTCATGTCATCACAGGTTTCACATTCCTGTGATTTAAAGAACTTGGCTTCTATTTATTGTAGAGCAGATCTCCTGCAAGTAAATTCTTGCAGCTTGTGTTTGTCTGAAAAGATTTTATTTCCATTTTTCAAAGGATTCATTTCCCTGAATAGAATTATAGGTTGACAAGATTTGCTTGCTATCTATCTATCTATCTATCTATCATCAATTTATCTCCCTTTGTTCCTTAGGGCCTGCATAATTTCTGACGAAAAGTTCACAGTCATTCTTACCTTCCTTCGTTTGTGCATATGTTTATTTTCTATCTCTGCTTTGAAGAATTTAAAAATGCTACCAGCTATGAACAAGGGTTCCAATTTCTCCACATTCTTGCCAAAATTTATCATTTTCTGTCTTTTTTTACAAAAAAAAGTACATGTTAGCCTTTCCTGTGGGTGTGAAGTATATTGAATTGTAGTTTTGATTGACATTTCTTGACTCACTAATGATGCTAAGCATCTTTTCCCATGCTTATGACCAAACTTTTAACAATTAGGTTATACCAACTATCCCAAAGCCTGGAAAAGGAGGGAAAGCAACACAGTCTATTTCATGAAGCTATATTAATCCTGATTTCAGCACCTAACAACGAAAATACAACATAAAGAAAACTACACCTAAACCTCACTTGGGTATAATTTTAAAATCCTAAATAAAGTAGCTGCAAAATAAATAGTATCTCAAAAGGATTTTCTAGCCATGATCCAGGAAAACTAATCTTACCTTGGAACTGCAAAAGGGTTCAATATTAGCAAATCTGACATCATAATACTTTACGTCAGCAGCCCCCACTTTTAATAATAGTTTAAAGGGCATTAAATAACACCTAAAATATAGTCCCAAAATAAAATAATCCTTAGGAAAAGCTAGAGGATACTCCTTTCACATAATAATTACATAAACATCTTACTTAACAGTGAAACACTGAGGCATTCCCGTTAAAACACTGAGGGAACATCAGAATCGGGGCAGGTGTGTTTGCTTCCAGTATTACTACTTCCTGTTGCTTAAGAAGATGTGACTCATGTAATAGGATCTGAAAGAGAAATACAATCTATAACCATTGGGACAGAGGGGACGAAAACGTATTATATACCAACAATATGAGTAGATAACCAAAACACTTAGGGAATCAACTCTGAAACACTCAGAATTTACAAGAAAGCTTAGCACCATGGCCAGGTTTTTAAAAAATGCTAAATGTACAGCAGTCAATAGCTTCTTCATAAACCAATAGGAAGCAAACAGAAAATATACTCCCCTGGGCAGAAAAGATTAAATTTTTATTAGCAACATGAGGTAAACCACAAAACTTGACTGATAAGCACACAAATATAAGGAGAAGCAGCACATAATGGAATGTTATACAGTCATTAAAAATCTGTAATGTGTGAAAATCATTCTGGAAAAAGCAACATGGAATAAACAAAAAGCAGAATTCATAGAATATATTCACATGATTCTTTTTTCATAGAACAGAAATTATATATTAGTCCCCAAAACAAAAATGACTGCAAGTAAACCTAAGAGGTTTCAATACTTATTATTTTTGTGAGATGGATTATCAGACCATTTTCAATTTCTGTATACTTTTATGCTATATTTCTACAACAAGCAATTATTACTTTTGAGGTCAGAAAAAAATTAACTTATTGAATTCATTTGAATTTAAATCCAAGCAACTGAAAAGTAATAAAGTTATTGGCTACATATTATTTTCAAGATTCAAGTTTATGATTCTCTGAATCACCCTGGGCATGAGAGTGTTGCTAAAACATGGGTTAATACCCAAGAGCCAAGAGTCTGGGACAATGTTCAAGTGGACAAGCATAGAAATATTTCTCTGGCTCCCCTGAGCTGGCCAGTCTCTCTAGAAACTAATGTAAGAATATGAAGATGACATCATTGCAGGTGTTCTTTCAAAGCAGAACTTAAGTTTATAATGCTTTGGCTGACAAAACTGGAAGGGAGACAAGATTTTAAAAGCCTCAGATATTCTCTTTGTCGATGCTCGCCATCTTTATCTTCAAATAGAAGTATTTATATTTCTTCTTTCTGCCCCTTAGGCTCTGGCTCTTGCTAAGAAATGTCTCATGAACTTCAGAAGAGGAGACAAACATAAGAGGATAGTACACAATGTTCTATTTTTTTAAGACTATAAATATTTTAATGTCTAGAAGAGACCACCTATCATGAAAACTTCAGATCTTCCTTAGTCTTGTAAAAAGTTAACTATACAGTTTATCATAGTTTCCAAGCTCAAGTGGTATATGTCAGATTGGCCTAAAACATTTGAAAATAGCCTGAATATTTGTAAAAGATGGACATACTAGAAAAGAGTAATGTCAAATTTAATAACTGAAAAATAATATATGCTGCCAATAGAAAAGATGAAACACATAACCTTGACCGAATTCTTTTACTAAAATCAACACGTAATACTACTGTCTAAACAGAACCTAATCCTTGCTGATAATCCAATAAGTATTTATTAAGTACCTGCTTGTTACATAGAATTGTGGCGGGCACTGTAGACAGAACTGACAAAATATCTCAAGGAATTTAGGGAGTAAAAGGGAGAAGAGACAAGTACAAAAATAAATACAACTCCTACAAATTAACATGAGAAACCAAATAACTTAATTTTAAACATGGGCAAAATACTCGAATAGACATTTCACCAAAGGAGATACATGAAGGCCAGAAAGCACATGAAAAGTTGCTCAATGGCATTTGTCATCAGAGAAGTGAAAACTAAAGCGACGGTGAGATGCCATTTCACACCCACCACAGTAGCTAAAATAAAAAACGACTGACAACACCAAATGCTGGCAAGATGCAGAACAACTGGAACTATTACGCATCGCTCCATCGGAGAGAGTGGAATGGCACCACCACGTTAGGGATCTGTCTGGCAGCTCCTTCCACATTAAGTATGTGTCTCTTCTATGACTCAACAATTCCAGTTCCAGGCATTACCCAACAGAAATGAAACATGTCGACAGAAAGACATATGCAAGAATTTTTACAGTCAAAATATACACAATAGCCAAACAAATACATGCCCATCAACTAGAGGGTGGATTCACAAATTGTGGTATGTCTATACATGGACTGCTACTCAGCAATAAAAAGGGAGAGATTGCTCATAGGCTCAACAACATGTAATAGTAATTATCTCCAAACATCACATGGAGTGACAGAGGTCAAACACACAAAGAAGAATCTATGGATTTGAAACTCTAGAACAGACCAAGCTAATCTATGGTGAGAGTTGCCTCCTAGAGATCTGCTGCCTCCAAGGTTGTGAGGGTGGGCCGATAATTACCTGGGAAAGGGCAGAAGGAAATGTTCTGCTGGTGGATATGCCCTAGGTCTTAACAGAGGTGATGGTTAGACAGGTGCACAATTGTTCAAACTTACTGAACTAAACGCTGAAGACCTGTGCGTTTTATTGTATTTAATTCGTTTGTATGTAATTCATTTTTTAAATGTTCAGAAAAGAAAAAATAGAAATGGTAGCTGACATTTGTGCGTTTGCATCACAACGACTACGAAAAGCCTCAGTTGTGTTATTGTAGCTCAAGCTGCTATGACAAAATATCTAAGTGGCTTAAACAATGGACATTTTTTAAAAATATATTTTATTGATTTTTTACAGAGAAAGGGAGAGGGATAGAAAGTTAGAAACATCGATGAGACAGAAACATCGATCAGCTGCCTCCTGCACACTCCCCACTGGGTATGCGCCCGCGACCAAGGTACAGGCCCTTTGACCGGAATCGAACCTGGGACCCCTGAGTCCGCAGGCCAACGCTCTATCCACTGAGCCAAACCATTCAGGGCAAACAATGGACATTTATTTCTCTGGAGGCTGAAATCCAAGACCAAGGTGCCCGCAGATGCAGTTGTTGGTGAGGATTTGCTTCTGGATCACAGATGGCCATCTTCATGCTGTATCTCAGATGGGGGAGAAAGGACGCTCTGACATCTCCTCCTTTTCTTATAAGGACACTAATCCCATCATGGGGCCCCATCCTCATGACCTCATCTAACCCTAATCACCTCCCGAAGGCTCTACCTCTTCAGACCATCACATTGGGGGTTAGGGCTTCAACATATGAATTTTGGGGAGACACTAACATTCAGTCCATAGTATTTGTTCATATCACCTTAGAACACCACATCACCAAAAAGTGCTCATTCTGTCATATGAGAAGTTCAGGAGCAAGCACTGGACGATGAAGCCACAGTCAGGCCAGATGTTGGGTGGAAGCTGGAACCACCTCTGGGTGCCATCCCTGTAGGAGCTGAGTCTCAAACCGGGGCTTCAGAGGAATTAAAATTCACCACACGTCATGAACCTCTACAGCAGCTTGCAAATAATCAAAAGAGGGGAATTTAAAATCCAACAGCGTAATTACTGTGCAAGAGAGACTGTTAGAAACACCAGATGAAGCCACGGAGAATGTTTTATCTGACGTTTAAACTGACAGAAATCTCACCTCCTGAGGAATAAAACCACATTAACTAACATATTGACCCATCAGATAGTCATCACTCCTTAGAGTCTGGCCCCATCCACAAAGCATGAAGTGTACATTGGTTATGTGATCTGAAATGAGCACGTGGAAAAGACTCTACCAAAATACTTAGTTCCTTCACTCAGATATACCCCTTAAGAACCTTTAAAAAATTGTCCCTCATTGTCTAGTGTACTTCATATCAAGATACCTAGTTGGAAGATAAGTAATAAGATAAAGAATAGACTTATTGGAGAGTTTGCACATATTAGGCGATAATAGATGTTGCTGTCAATGTGTTTACAACATTGGTTTTCAACCCTTCCCCCGTCCTAACATCTGTGAGGAGCAAGACGTGTAGACAGCTGCCTTCTTGCCCCTCAGAACTGATGCCCCGTGGAACAGTGGTGTTCTTCAGAGCGGAGCAGTGTGACCCCTTTGGGGTTGGGCACGCATGTCATGATGTACATCTCCCCTCCCCGACCAGAAGAATCCCATCGGGGATTAAACAAATCCAGCACCAACGTGCTCAGCAGGCCAGGGGCCATTCTTGATTTTTCTCTTTCTCCCTAGTGCCCTAAGTGGTCTGGCCCCGTTCCTCCGCCCCAGCCCCCCATTTCTCTCCCCTCCCTCCAGGTCCAACCACACTGGCCTCCCTGCTGCTCTGGAACAGGGCTGGTGCTCCTGCCTCAGGACCTTTGCAGTGGCCACTCCATCTGCCTGAACACGCTTCCCCAGATGCCCCGGTGACAAACGCCTTCACCCCCTGCAGGCCTTTGCATGAAGGCCCTCCTCTTAGTGGGCCTGACCTTGACTCTCCCTGTTTAAAGTTGCAATCTTTCCACCCTCTGGCAAGTTCTCTGCCCTCCTCCCTGTTCTGTTGCCTTTCTTTCCAGTGCACTCAACCCCTTCAACAAGCTGACATTTGCTTGTTTCATTATCTTTATTAGAGGCCCAGCACACGAAATCGCGTGTGGGTAGGGTCCCTAGGCCTAGCCTGCGATCAGGGCCATCTTCTGCCCGCTCGCCAGTCCCAGCCCTGCCCCACTGCCACCCCCCGGTTCACCGTTGTTCCCCGATCACAACATGGCTCCAGTTCCCCGGAGCATGCGGACCGGGGGAGGGACCAAGAGGTTGGCCGTTCCACCCACTTGCCAGTCCCACCCCGCCGCCATGCGGTTCACCATGGTTCCCCCATTCGCCATGCTGCAATCGGAGCCTGCAGGCTGGGGGTGGGGGGACCGAGTGGTGGTCAATGCACCTCATGGCGACTGGTCGGGCGGTCATTCCAGTCATTACGTTTATGGTTGCTGGCCTTTTATTATATAGGATGACTGTATTGCATTATACTTACTATTTGTTATCACATTATCTTATATATGTTGGGTGTTGTTTTTATCCTTCTTGCTCCCTTTGCTATAGTGTAAGTGCCCCTTGGCATTGACATCTCTTAAAACACCGAAGACCCTCCCTGTCACATA